AAAAACAAGCTGTTTTTGATTCGAAGTGTTAAATCGTAGACTACTAAAATACCATTGTGAAACTAGTTGAACTCGGGTATGCTTAGGCATGCGCATTATCGTCGTGTATTTTGCCACATAGCTCTTAAGCTGTACATGCACTGATCTACATATATCCCAAATAGTCTTGAATGCTTAAGAAGTTCTAGTTTTACGGAGTTTCAATGAAGGTCAAAATATATTCAAAGCAAGTTATGAAAATTTCACTGAACTAAGTAACAGAAACAATCGTGGAAAGCAAAGTTATCTAAGTGTATCAGTTTTCGTCAACTGTACCAATCATTCCAGTGTCTCTTACATTGCAATCGACTTTTAACACTGCTTCTGTGGGTATAACTATTAATCTAAAATAAAACCCTTCAAAAGGTAATCCAAGTTGTACTTTATTACTAAAATAAGTACTGTACTGTACGATGATGTATATTTGTAGGTAAATATATATTTATATATATATATATATATATATATATGGATTTATGAGTGTACTATCTTATTAGTAATATATTATAATTGTTTCAACTTACTCATTTTCGCTGCTATTGGTATCGTCGAACACTATACCTCTAAAAGTATTCAAAACTGTCGTCCGATAAACCGTTAAGAACACTCTTAAATTAGATTATAGCTTTTTGTAGTTCATAACGATTCTATTTTAATAATATAAAACGCATTTTATTTTTTGCTATTTATGTAGGCCGGTTACGCGCGCGATATCCGCTCGATAATGGTAATAAATATAAACTAAACTCAAGCGTTCAATAAAAACAAAAAAATACCAATACCAAAGTCAACAGCAAGCGACGTTCAACGAAATTATACGATTACATTGGAAATGGATTGAAGTGCCGGCCACTGGCAGGACATACACCTACAGGAGCTGCATGGATATGTGTGTTTAGGTGTGTACTTTTGTATGTAAGTATGCAAGTATATATGTATGTATATGGTAAGTATGGCGCAAGGGTTGTGTGCTTAAGGCGTGGGTGTGTGGTGTGGTGGCGCCGTATGCGCGTTCACATTAATCGTGAAAATAATCGAATTGTGATGGACAGGAAAACAACTTATGCCAATACATATGTGCATACATTCATATATACGCCACATATGCAAGTATGTGTTTATGTGCGTATATTAAAAGGCATATGTGGAGTATATGGGCAGCTTATTCATATAGATATGTGGTCGACTGCGCTTACTTACATTACGGTACTTTTTTTTTACAGATATATGTGTGCAGTTGTAGCGGGTATGTGGGGGGATTGTGAGTGAAAGTGGCAATTAATTGCTTTGTACAATGTTGTGGGCAGATACATTTTAAATGGGCTGGCATTTACAGTATAGGCACATACATACGGTTGGAGGGTACCGAGGGTGGCACTTTTCCACATATTTACAACCATTTAGGCATAAATAATAATTATTTCAAATATGCCTATGTCTGAGTGCTTATACTTACCTATATACACTAATGCTTCTAAAATAATAATCAATGCATTGGAAAAAGTATTTACTGCGTTTATTTAGAACACGTGGGCATATAAAATCTTTTTGACGTTTTATTGGATGTTTATGACTTCAATAATTGTACGAGTATATACTTGTAGGTACATATGTATGCGCACTATTTCCTTCGTTTTAATATTTTTTCTGAAGAAATTATTATTCTATATTTTAATAATAATATTATTTATGTATAAATATATATATATATATGTGAACTTAGTCAGTTGTAAGTAAACATTTTAAATTACAAAGCTAACTATATATTTATTCAGATATTTTATATATAATACATATCTGAAAATGTGTATATAAAAATCTTACAACCAAAGACCAAGTTAAATATATTGCTTTAAGATTAAGAATGAGACGAGAGAAATACTAACTCGTACTTACTTTTATATATACACATATGGTACACATACACTTTATAACTGAGTCTAGCAAATAACATATAAAACAAGAAAAAACGGTGACTTCGCTTGCACCGAAGCTATAATACCCTTCACAGGCGCATTTCTCATAACATAAAGGGGCGTGCAAAGTTTTTTATCTTGATTTTAATCGCTCACTTTGTATGAAAGCTATATGCTATGGTGGTCTGATATATAACCGAATATTGTTTCTTTGACTCTAGAAATATTCCATGCCAAATTTCGTGAAGATATCTTGTTAACTAAAAAAGTGTTCCATACAAGAACTCGATTTTGATCGGTCATTTTGTATGACTACTATATGATATAGTGGTCCGATATCGGCAGTTCCAACAAATGAGTAGCTTCTTGGGGAGAAAAGAAAGTGTGCAAAATTTCAGATCAATACTTAAAAAACTGTGGGACTAGTTTACGTATATACATACAGATGGAATGACAGACAGACGTATGTGGCGTAGTCAACGCAACTCGTCATGCTGATTATTTATATATATTTTGTTTTATAGGATCTTCTACGATTCCTTCTGGGTGTTACACACTTCGTGAAAGCGGAAATTTAATTGAAATTTAAAAGCCATATTTAATAAGGGGCTGATAAATGAATAACTATATGGTTAAAGTGGGGGTACAGGTAGTAAGAGATAACGTATTTGAACAAATTATGTGGAAATAACGGGCTTTTACATGAGTTTGGGGAGAGTAAACTTTAAATGCAGGGAATTTGAGCACGAAATTAACAGTACGATTACAGTTACAGTCACAAGACAATAATAAGTATCAAACTCTTTAGGAAGTAGTCAAAATAATAGGACTTCTCTAAAATCTAAGAAAAATCATTCAAACAGACAAGAAATAATTTTGTGTATAAAATTTCACAAAATATCTGTTAAACCAGCTGTCAGAGTAAACATATGTATTTGACATTTATCTTAAGAGTTCCTTGGTAAATCTCTAGTTTTATACCAGAAGGACCTTAAAAGACCATTACAATTTATTACCGAAAATCCTATTAAATAGTACATTTACATTTTTACCGACAAACAATGTACATCGTTATCTTCAACAAAAATTCTGCGAAATGTAAGATAGTCCCTGAGAGATACCTAACTGATTTTTATCCAGAACAATTACTGTTGGTTAAATTGTATATCCAGATCAAAATTGATATTTTTTGTGAAGAAATTGGCAAGAAGAAATACAGCTCGCAAAATCCTCAATTTATTGCGGAGAAATTATATTGACTGAAACATATCAAGAAATTGGCCCGTTAGTTGGCCATCAAGATCATGTAATTTGTCTAAGTTAAACTAATATTATGTGAACCTATAACAAATCAATGTTCTTTTTTGATGAGACAACGACCACGAATCAGTTGGAAACCAATAATTTGACAAATTTTACCGAGTTGTCCGTCACTGGCAAGATAAAACTTGGGTTACGTAGACCAAACTATTGCGACAACGGTTTTATTTGAGCCAAATCAGCTGATCTAAATTCCCACAAGTGCTGCCAGTCTGTGAAAAAATTGAAATTGCATTTATGTTACTATAGAACACATTTTGGTTTGCATTTCCAACTGCCCCAATAGGAAAGACGTCAATATCGTGTCTTGCATGCAGTGTTTACCCCAAGTCAGCAAGGTACTGACGGAAAATGTCACTTGTGCCAGTTATTGTTCGATAATTCATTAAAAATTTATACAAGAAAAAGTTAAGTACTGACCACACGGAAAAACCCACAGCTAACCGCAAGCAAGCCGAGCCACATACATATGTATGTGTAGATGTACATATACATATATGTATGTTTGAATGTGTGTTTGAGTATATGCATATACCTAAGAATTGCCGCATTCAAAATGTCACCCGCAAATCAAAGGCAAATGCCAAACCAACTAACCAATAAGGATCCGGCGGTCGGAGTGTCGTTTCAAAGTCAAAACACAATTTCGTGGCTTGTTGACCACAACTAATAACATACAATGAGCGGATACAAATTTGGTTCAGATCCAAAATAAATGCATCCCATATATTGGTTTGTACAATATGTTGTTACGACATTTGCCCTACGGCAGCTTTTCTGTCTGTCAGTTGGGGTGCTCCCCGCTATATGTCTCTTTCGATTCGATTATTTGAACAGGAGCGGATTTGCTTTGATTGAATATCTGGTTTGTTTGCAGCGGCATTTATTTATTCAAGCAGAAACTTGTTTTGAGCATATATAACAGAGCCGATGTGGCATCCAGTAATTTAGTTTGTGTCCCCACACATCAAGATTATACTCGATGCTAGATGATTCAAAATGTTTCGTAGTTATCTCCATCAGCTCAGACAAAGACCTTCGACATTTAGATTAACGGTAATAATATATTAATCAGTGATCGTAGGCTCGAAATATATAAATTTTCGCATACATTTTGTAAATCTATTTAGTTCAGAGAGAAATATATATATAAACATATATTCATCTACCATCAGTAATCGTATACGAGTTCGAAAATCGTAGAAAATATTAAGTTATCAATCGATTATTATTTCTTGCAGGAAATTCGGCCATAACCTTAAATTGTATGACATCCGCCAACGTTCGATTGCTTTTCTGCTGCTGCGGTTAATAGTAAACAAATAGCCATAGAACAATAAGACAATTGTTACTATAGGCATAGCAATTTGTCAGGCAGGTATTGAAGAAGACGGAGTTGGGTAATGCGGCCCAAAGCATATGCAAGGACAATTGTGTATACTGCCGTCAATGGTAGGTAAATGTATGATATTTATTGGTTTATATGTAATTATATCCTACGTAACAAAATTAATCGCAAATATTTTTATTTTGGAAAATCAGGATTCTATAATTGGAATCTATGTCAATTAAATATACTACCCTATTCAAAGCTACTATACTATCAAGACATAGTACTATAAAAGTGTCCATATTTTATCGTATCCAGTATTTTTGACCAAAAGGCAAGAGCTTAAAGGGCACTTTTGAAGTTATGAAATCTTATCTTGAATAAAACACAGACAGTTCAACAATTTGAATCTTAATATTTATAAATATCATTCGTAAATTTCATGAAATTTCGTGTTAAAACTGATTATAAAGCATATGATGACCACGACTGCTTCTTATGAAGACCATCTTGATAGTGTAATTTTAAATAGCACCTCGTTCAGCAATCCCGGCTTTACCTCGCCAATAACACGATGGTTGTTGGCTTGCATCTGCTCAGCCATAGTCCTTTAAACCATCTACAAATATTTCAACAAAAATTAATCTAACTAATCAGGTTAAATATTTAAATACTGAAAGTATAGTCAGAAAAGTCTGTTTAGAATTATTTTTGCGATAAGAGAGAAAACTGTCTCATCGGAGATTTTGGACAGTAAAGGAGTAAGCGGAGAGTTGCCATACAAAATAAGAGTTTCGGCAATCAATTTTGCTTCCTAATTTGTGAAAATATTCTTAACATAAATGTCATGTTTTTTGACTGCTATGCCTATAGGAAATTGAATATCTCAAAAAGGAGTAGTAATACAAGAAATCATTTTATTTTTAAGTGTAGAATTTTGGCATACGCCTTTACGATATTAAATCATTTTTCGATTTTACAAAAAAATATATATTACTAACCTACAATATAATCACAATATTTGATATATATATTTTGAAAATTAATTATACCAAGCGCTGTTGTTTCATAATTCTTAAATAACAAATAAAATACTCTATATCATTGTAATCTATGCACCTAACTATGCAAGATTGGGTACCCCTGCTGTGCGGCTGCACATTTTCTCACGCATGTAAATCTCTTTTCTGGTTTACTGGGTTATATCACTTTGAGCGCCATTTAACCGCCATTCGATGCAGGCACAATAATTATTTTCGACAACCAAAGGATTTTACCGCAGGTACGTTGATTCTCCTTGTTAGATTGACTTGACTTGGGTTATTTTTGTAACTGATTGCATGCCGTTCGACCACGAGAATATGTTTTATGATGCATACAACTGTACATTTGTTTTCTAACATGTATAGGTATATTGCGTAGAGTAATGTTTGCTGTAAGCTGTAGACCACAAAACCGGTAACGAAGGGAAGTGTTCATTTAGCTGGTCAATAATTTTGTGACAAGTTTGCTGTAATCACCGCATACAAGTGAAGCATACACGGTGTATTAACCATACAAAATGGTTTTGATGTATGCGTATTAGGGTGCATAATATATTATTATTTTCGATGTATGAAATTTGTATAGCGATTTATTGACGACGAATATGTATATGTGATTGAATTCGTGGCTATGTAGCCACCACTCGGGTGGTGTGACTTCGTAGAGTGTTGTCGTGAAACTTTAAATTGAAAAGTAACTTATTACTAGGGTATTAGTGAACCCTCGCTAAGTAATTCGGACACTAATTGGAATATTTTAGTTGGGCAAATCATTAAAAACGCCATCAGGCGTTAAATGTTCAAGGTGGCAACATTTGTATAGGGTAAGACATTGCGAAAATGATATTGAGGGCACATATTAATAACTCCAGCACTTAGTTAGTCGTCAAATTGAGTATTCACACACACACACAGTTAATTTAGTTTGCGTGCAATGATAATTTGGAGAACTTAACTGTGAATAAAACTTTATTAATTTTGAATAGAAATAGGATTTTTTGAATAAAAATATTTTATTTTAAACTCTGTTAAAGGAACTGCGAACTATACGAACAGCTTCATGAAAGTTGCTTATGTAGAAATGTAGTGTTAGATCCCTGAAGCAGATATAATTCACAAGATTAGAACTAGCTGGTTAACAAAGTCATTCATGATACCCAAGTAAGAAAAATCAACTGAAATAACTGGGAACCAACCCGACAGCAGTACAGATACGGCGTCAAACCAGCTCTTGTTACAGAACTTTTTCTTTATACGTAATGTCAAATTAAGACTTTTCCAAATATATAAATATATATTTGTCGGAACCACCGATATCGCATGACTATGAAATATATGTAGCTGCAATACAAACTGATCGATCCAACTCAAGTGCTCTTATGGACATTTTTTCATTTGAGGTGCAGTCAAGAAATTTGCCATAAATTATTATCTAGGACTTTTCTATTAGCTCCAATGAAATGGTTCAGATCGGACAATTGTAACATATAGCTGCCTTACAAACTGGGCGATCAAGCTTAAGTCCTTATTTGAATAACCTATATCTAAGACATCGCTATAATCTCCGAATAAATTATATTAATCTCACCACTATAGCAGATAAATGCCATATAAACTGACCTTTTATTCACTTTTATGCTATAAAAAATACACCTGTGAAGAGTATTATAGCTTCGGTGCAGCCGAAGCTTGCACTTTTTTTTGCTTCGTCCTCTCTTATAATATACCTACAATGATTTTTTTGGTATGTTCTGGTCCGCAAAATTGTTTGACAAATTAAAAAGTGAGTGTCTAAATTTTGATTGTAGAAAAGATTTTCGTGCTCCAAATAGCAACAATAAAATTATCTCGCATTTGGCATAATTTTTAATATTTTTGAAATATTTTAATTTGTTTTATGATTTTTCTCCATTACCATTCACAGTTCATGGCAAGCTAGAAGACGTTAAAATAGTTTAAGACTTCATACAATTTTTTTTTATGGATTTTATGGATAATGACAGCAATTAAAATTAAAAATTGTGAGGCATGCCGACTTGCAACATTTTTATACTCGCGCAACATATGGCACAGAGTATACTAGTTTTGTTCATCTAACAGTTGTGTGTATCACCTAAAACTAATGATATAGGATTTTATATATATATAAATAATCAGTATGAAAAGACGAGGTAAAATCCGAGTTACTGTCTGTCCATCTGTTTGTTCGTGCAAGCGATAAATTTGAGAAAAAATTTAGATATCTTGATGATACATACATATATTCCTTAGAGCCGAAGGAGCGTTGGTACTGATGATAGGTGCAATCGGGCCACTGCCATGCCCACAAAACACTATTAAACGAAAACTCATAAAATGTCAAAGCTAAGCACATATTTAAGATACAAAACTGTAATTTGGTGCAGGGCCTAACAGTAGCGGAAGGCCCATATTTTTATAGTGGGCGTGGTCGCGCCTTCTAAATGGTAATATATACATATCTTTCAAACGACTAAACCAAACTTAACCAAACTTGTTGGGAAGAAGTCCTTTAAGCATTTCTTTATCCACTGCGAAAATAAAGAAAATCAGATAATAACCACGCGCACTCCACAGTCGACGTTTATTATAACTAAAACGGCGATAACTCACTGAATAAATGAGCCATAATCATTAAATTTCACAACCAAGATGGTAGGAAAGGTCTTTAAAGTATCTGGTAAACTAAAATTGGGCAATGGCTTTTAAATTCCATCTAATTTTTTCACTTTACATTGTACCAATCAAACATCAATGGAGTTATTGGGGAAAAACTTTGCACAAATAATGTCCTTACGGTATTTAATCTTACGCACAAAAATTTTCGACTTTTTCGATTTCGGACTATAACTTTTTAAAGAACCAGACACCAAATACCAGGTCATATGGCTGCTTTTGTACCGAACATATTACTTCGGTCAGTTTGTGAGTTCTGGTATTGAAATGCGGGAAGAATTTATTTGTGATCACACCATGCCCTTTTGTCAAAAATGGGTGATATCGGGTTAATACTCTCCTTAGCTCCCATATACTTATGTTTATATGAATATTTTCGGCTTGTTTTATACTGCATCTATCGGTCAATATGTAAGAAATCCTAATGAAATTCCGAAAGAATCGCTTTCTAATAACAGTGTATCTTCTTGCCTATGATTGTAAATAATGAATGCAGTACTTCCAAATATGTATATACGAAAATCCCGTATATCACTTTACCTTGCGAGAGTATAAAATTTTCGGTTACACACGAACTTAGCACTTCCTTACTTATTGTTATATTTTTTGTGCAGAAATTTTCGATTTTTTTTCGGATTTTCAAAAGTTTGGCAAAAGCAACGTAACTCAATATTGGCATATAGTATGCATCAATATATCGAATTATATATAGACATACCTATAAATGCACTACCCAGTACACACCCATATATCTGTCAATTCGTGCCACTTATTGGCACTGGCAATGTAAAATAAAAATTAAACATAAAAGAAACGTATGCTTTCCTTTTGAACATTCACCTACCAATCGCAGTCTCGCAGTCGTAAGTGCTTGAGTTCGATGCGAATTAATTACTTATCACAAAAAAAAAGGAAGAAAACGTCATAAATTTCTGAAATTTATGCCATGCATTTGTTGTGTATCGCTGAATGGCAAATCGAATTGAGAGAAAATTTAAAATATAGCACACATCTGCAGCGGAAAGCAACGCACTTGCATATACATATAAAAACATACAAATGGGAAAAACAAATTTTTTACCTAATTGCTTTTCTTCATTTTAATTTTTCAAATTTTCCGTTTTACTAATTTGTTTGAATTATGTCGCATTTTTCGATTTCAACAACATATTGTGGACAGGTTTGTTTGTACGTATGTATATACATATGTATGTGTGTGTGCGCTTGTGTCGGTATACTTGTAGTTTTGTGATTATTTGTCAATTTGTGCCGCCAACGCATTCTCGACGACCTGTCGGTCAATTGCGACAGAAAAGAGGCAAAAGCTGAACGGTTTGGATTTTTATGATTTTATGCATATACATACATATGTATATAGACATACATACACAACATTTATATAATGTACCGCGAGTATGTAAATGCCTTTGTCAAAATAATATAAGCAAAACGTGAGAATATGTACCTATATTAGTTTGAAGGGGTGTTTGGAGGGAGTTGTATATTTATTTGTTTGGTTCATAAAATTTTTATTCCCTCCCTCTTTTATATTATTATTAGATTTTTTACAAAAATTGTATATACATACCTATATACTTTAATTAAAAGTATATATTTTTTATTGCCTCTTGTAGTCTCTTCACAATACAGTGTTTTATTTTTAATTATACAGAAAATAATGGTTCCAAGTCAGCTGTGTGGTATGAATTAACATAATTTTTGAACCTAAGTTTAGTTTTCGAAAATCTTCTGTAATTACATATAGGTACAACTCCACCGACCCACCCACTTCACTCATTTCGCCCTATATATTAATGTATATCACAATTGTGTCCAAGACCCAATGTGCATGCCAGCGCCACTGTTTCTGTTATGCGTGGTTGGAAAACATGACGCTTTGCTTCCTCTACCATCTACAAATAGTGTTTCTATTAATAATCCGAATGTTATTAAAATTAGAATTATTGAATTTTCGTTCGGCTGCTGTATCGTCTATGCGGGTTTTCAAAATCTGTTTTTGTTTTGAAAAAATAAATATAAAATTGTATACGTGACGATGCAAAACTCAAAAATGGCTTGTAATTAGTTGCGGCGGTTTTAATACATACATACATATGTAGGTAGAGATAAATTTGAATTTTTTCAGCATTGGCAATGTTTTTTGCATTTAATTGGAAAATCCTTAGACAATTCGATTATAGCTCTATTTGTTTTAACTATCTTTTTAAAGAATTTGTAATAATTTTTTCAAAGTTTAAAAAAAACCGTAGAGAAGCCAAGCCACGGACCACAAAAGTTGTAGAACAATATTGTGAAAGCTTTAATGAGGCGAGAGTCATGGAAAGAAAATAGTTCTCCTAGATGCTTACCTATAAAGAATGAAATCATCTGAATCTGAACATGCAGATAATAAGATAACTACATATCATAAATTCCTTAAAAAGTTTTTGGAGAAAAGTTATCACAAATCAGAACAAGGTAAGAAAATATGCTCGTGCCTTCTAGTATAATAGTACCATAACTCAAAAAAATTAAGAAATTGTTCGGTGAAACAAGGGAAGAAAAACTTTTGATCTTTTATCTTCCGCCATCGATATAAAACGGCTGTAACCCTAACATATTTGTAATGAGTTCAAGGCGCTTTTTTAATACATGAAAGTTCAGAGTCAACTTAAGGATCTTTGACTTCACGACGAGTATTTATCTTTAAGACGTGTGATTTTCAATCAGGCAATACTTTTTTCAGATTTTGCCTTCTTAATAGCTGCTACTTGATTTATATTCAATTTGGTTTGCCATTTCATAATAAACTGACTAACTCCGGAACAAAACTTGAAAAGCGTGTCGTCAGTCGACATAATCGCCTAGCCGAGTCGGTAATTTGAGCAACCCCATCGGTTTCGTACCACATTTATTCTAGTGGATAACGTGCATCCTCAAAGATGCTGAACAGTGCGCACCGAAGTCGCTTTTGCTGATCTTGATTTAGGGGCTTACAAAACTCAACTCTTGCAAGAATTGAAGCCAAACGATCATCAAGCGCGTCACACGTCCAGTGAAGAGGTCTAAATGAGATATCCAACGAACTTGATTTTCACAGGAAAGTTTTGTTCAGTGGTTTAATGGGTACGTTAATGAATAAAATTGTCGCATTTGGAGTGATGATAATCCACAAGCCAACGCCGTTACTTCCTCAAAAAGTCTCTGTTTAGAGTGCTGTAGGAACAGAGAGAATGCCTTTTCCATATTTCTTCAAAAATGAAGCCGGCCATAATGTTACATTCAATGGGAAGGCTATATAGTAATGGTGAATGTTGATGTGGACGACTTTTGGTTCCAACAAGACGCCCCTACATGCCATACAGCCAACGATACAATCAATTTATAGAAGGAAACTTTGGTGAGCCCATTATTTCGCGTCCTGGGCTTGTGACGTGACCTCAAGAAGTCGCTTGGCTATGCAGATAAGTCCGACACGCCTTGGAAGAGTATATTCGGCGCGTGATTGCTGACTGATGGCCGACAATTGGGCCTCTCGGTTTGAATTTATTTGAGCGATAGAAAAAGAATCCATATAAATACAAACTTTTGTCAAAATTATTTGTTTGCTTCGTTTAATATTTATTTTGGTTGAATTTGACGGGTCTAAAGGTTAGTGCTGAATAATCAGAGTATAATTTTAACGCGTCCTTTTGCAGTTAGGTTACCGTTATTTTTAAGTTAGCTCTCAGCTCATGTTTGAAGTACGAAATAAGTAATATTTCTTTTTCAAGCGACAAAATAATTGTAAAACCACTTTGAAGGAATATCTTAAATGAACATCAAGCATTTTTGGTAAGCATAACTGTAGAACAAAATAATTCTCAAGCAACCATAGTAACAGTTTGTTAATTTTTTTTTATTTTTTTGGCGGATTAGATTTGATGATTCTTGTTTAGCTGCTTCGGAAATAAATCACTTAATATAAATCACATGGATTTCACTCACTGACGCATTTAAATACTTAGCAATGAGACTTGCATAAAACGAGCTCAATTATTAGAAAGACACCTTGAGAAAACATCGAGAAAGTGGAATTTCAAAACACCGCATAGAAAAGCACAAACAAAACATTATAGAGAATAAACAACAACAAAATAATATATTTTCTATTTACCACTTGACTGGTGAAGTGCGAGGTCACATCTTCGGTACAAGCAATTATACTAAAAAGAGTGCACAAAAACACGACACGAGTGAACACATTGACAATATATACACGCCAGATGTTGGTGCACACCGATCACAACAAACACTTTATAAATAGCACCAACCACACGAAATTTTCCATTTACACTATTTATACTTTTTAAATTATTTTCTTTTATTATTTTTTTGTAAAAAATATTCACGTCTCCTAAGTACAGCTACTTGAGGACGAATTTCCATTATGTTTGCACTATGCGCGATGCGACTTCCGAATGAATTAAATTGATTGGGTGTGCTTTTGCTGCGCGCCAACACTTTCCGAACGCGAGTGGTCGCAAGAACAACGGAATTGCCGAGGGTTGCCACTGGCAAGCGGCTCTTTGGAAATACATGTCGGTATGTAGCAGATGTGACAGCGAACACAACGCGAATAGCAAATGCGATGCGATTGCGACAGCGACAGCGATCAGGATCGTTGAGTGACATTCTTAGGGGGTGCGTGACACATATGAGTGCCGATGTTTTGATCGACATGCGACACGCAACAACAACACTTTTGAAAGATGCGCCACGCTGCATTGCACTGCTGACGCTTGACAGAGATTACAGCCGGAGCAATTAAATGCGATTGATATGCATTTTGACGGGGAAGATCGGACAGTGCGCAAAGATGCGTTGCACTTATCAAGTAGCGCAAAGAGTTTAGCGACATAACACCTTAAAGCGCATATTATTTTTGTTTTCATTATATTAATAGATATAAATTATTGTAATGAATAGAATAGTCTTCGTTTTCGAACGCGAATAAGAAGAAAAACACAAACAACTTGTGCGCTTAAGGTAAGACAACAGCGTCAGCGTGAATTCACTATATTGGACAGCGACTTTCACGCCTTCGCGCCGCCCCAGTGCTGTCTACATAAGTATGTATGTAGTATATAGCAGAGTGGGCTAATCAAACGCAAGTGGCGCGCCCCCATCTCTCACGAATGCCGCCGCAATTTCTTTACATATTTTATACAAAATCATTTCTACTTCTTCGCTGTTGTTGCCTCCGCTGTGTTTTTTTTTAGAATATTTTTGAGTTGGTTTGTTGAACGTCAACGTTGCCTCCAATTCTGGTCTGCCGCAATCGCCCAAACGTTCCATAGATTCGTTTAATTTTTCCGGTAGCTTACCGGCAGCTGTGCGTTCGCTCATAGTCGTCGCGGTCGAAAATGTCTTGAATACGTTGATCATGATTATAATAACAACTTTGTATACTAAATTTTTATTGCTACTAGGTGACATCGCGCGATCGCGCTCGCCTGCTCTCATTTTCAGTATATACTCGTGGAGAATATTTCTGCGGCAATGGACTCTACTCTGTGCTCAGGAACTGTTGCTGTTGTATCAGTAAAACGTTTCTTGGTTGCGGTGACGCTGCAATATAGTCAGGCGGTGACAGATATCAAACAGAAGAATTTAATTGAATTATGTATAATTCAGGCGACAGCAACAAAACTGAAGCGAAAATAAATCGTTTTAAATAGGTGGTGTTGTATGACGCGCAATAAATCAGCACAAGACAATTCGGAATTAATGCAGAGATTGAATAGGTGTTAAAGTATTTTTGGATTAAGGTAACGAAATAAAAATGAGAATTTGCAATGATTTAAGTTATGTGTGTTTATTATAAAAACAGTAAGAAAATGTGAAATTCCTTGGTTCCATAATCGTGATAAAGTGAAGAATAAGACACCAACGGAGTAAATACTGGTTTGCTGCGATATTTGACTTTGCTTAAGATTAACAACTATTCCAGCGATATATCTTTAAACTCTTAGTCGTAACAAAGGAAGCTATATGGGAGAACGAGAAACCATCTGAAATAATTTTTTCCACCACATCTTTTCTTTTACCAAATCACCTCTATCAAAACATTAATTAAGGTAAAGATTTAGGCAGAATGGAACAGAAGACGTTTTGGTAAATTATAAAATTTCAAGAGAAAGAAACTTATCGAGATATCTACTCTAATTAATAATAAAGGCGAAACAAAAAAATAAGTATACTTATGTGTATCTGTTATGCCCTGAACAGGGTACCTTAATTATGCCCGGCTGGTTTTAATATCCAAAGGGAAACGTTGGAGACCCTGTAAGGTGTATATAAATGATCAGCATGATGAGCTGACTGAAATAAGCCATGCCCGTCTATCGGTTCGTCTGTATATACGCGAACTGGTAATTTTTTGAGATATTGACCTAAATTTTGTACACATCTTTTCTCACCAAGAATATGTTAATTTGTCCAATATCGGACAACTATAGCATCGCCATAGCTGCCATACAAACTGATCGATTCAACCCAAGTCCTTGTATGGAAAACTTTTTTATTTGACAAGCTATCGTCACGAAATTCTAAAATATATTGTATAGTTACGGTGACCACTTACTTCAACAATTATATTGTAGCTATCTTAGATAAATAATTACCGAACACTTTAACATTTATTGGGCTCCCAATGGAATTGTAACTAAGCATCGGATGATAAGTTGAAAGATTTTATGAAATTCTGAAGTTTATTCTGCCCTAACAATCCAATTATTTATTTGGGAGCTATGAATCAGTCATATTCCGTCTCAAACAACTGAAGGCTATGCATCTGAACAGGTAATGAGTATTTTTAAGGAGTGTTCTGTGGTTGTGGTGTTTCTGCAACATCCATTGTTCCAAGTAGTGTTTGAAGGAATTGAAGGGTCGAAAACAAAAAAGGAGACAAGTTGGCCTACGAACGATCGGAAATTCTCTATCTAAGCAGTCAAAGATCGCTGCTCTCAGCTACTTTCAGTAATATGATATATATAAAAAAATTAACTGATCGCCATTAAACCTTAGAAACTAGGTTTACGTTTTGACCTTAGTTAAGAGTCATTCAGTATTACCTAAGAGGCTATGCATACATCATAATTTTAAAACACTCTATAATATGAAAGATATTTACTTAATAAGCCGTATAAAATATATTCAAATTTATACAGTTGATATCGAAGAGCCTAAAGCACATTTTCAGTTCCAATTTGAAAAATTATTTGTTTATAAAAATTTATATTTTGTTTATAAAAAAAAAGTCGAATAAATACAACATATATCCCACTGGAAAGCTGATAAAAAATCGTAAACATTATGCCGACTAGTTTTTTTAAAATGAAATACTTTTCTTTGTATACGAAAAAGTTTAGCATTTTAAAGTTACTTTTTCCGAAAGTTAAAATTTTTAAAATTCATAACTCCAAAACTATTCGTATTGAGTCGGAATAAAAAATACGATTCCAATAATTTGCCTCAAAGAACATAAAACAAAAAATATTTTGCACAAAAAAAATTCTTGAAAGTAAATTTTGGATGGCGTGACCCTTATATAATATTATATTATTTATTTATATTAATATCATATTCAACTTTCTTACAAAGAGATGGTAATCTATAGCAGAACAGTTCAATAACCTAGTAGTATCTTAGATTTCACTGAAATTTGTTAAATTGTTTCATCCAAAGAGACTGTAGTTTTCAATATCAATCGGGAAAAAAATTGCGAATAACCAATGCAGTATAACATGATGGATTATCGATTTAGTTATTCATAGTGCACCAGACCACGATAATTACCTCACAATATTTTTATAAATATTGCTATGGTCGAAAACTTAAAAAAAAAGAGCATAAAGTCAAATTTTAGACACTAAATTTGTATTTCAAGAAAGAAATAAACTATTTAAGGCATATTATGGAATTGTATAAAGATTAAATAAGTTATGTTTTAACATCATTCTTTAAGGAGCGAGCGCTAAAAAAATAATCGATTATAGAGTATATAAAAAGTTACCAAAAACATTTGACTACTTTTTCTATATCTAACGAGACTTCAGATGTGGTATAAGAATCCCAAAAGATTTTCATAAAAAAAGTAATTGTTACAGCTGAGATTTTACCAGCCTTAATAAACAGCTTTGGAGAAACTTCAACTTAGTTGAGCATTCTTTTGGCGCTCGCTTGAAAATGGACTGATATTTAGTGTATGCAAGATAATTGATCTAACTCATCTCTTAAGAGCTTAATACAAGTACATTCAACTAAAGATATTTGCTGACATATTTTTTGTCAATCCCAACATTTTCTAATTTTTAAGTAAAGAAACATTGGTCTCTTAAATTTTTATCGCTGAATTCTGTGATATAAATTTTGATATCTCATGCAAGTTACAAATAAGTGCAGCTGGTATGATGAAAATATATACTTGTATATAAATATACCACCACTAAAAATGGTTCATAAAAATCAATAAATTGCGCCATACCAACTCGTGCAGCAACCCTGTCGCAAGTACAAACTTCATCTTTCTCTTCCTTTGTCAGTTCGTCATTTTTAGCTTCATAAAACTGGCAAATTTTCACTTTTGTCGAAGTAAATTCTAAAAACGGCAATAATTTGTGACGTGTTTCGAATAGTAAATACTTGCGGCATGGAAAAGTTGATAACAACTTTGCACACAATTCATGCAGTTGAGCAAATTCTTTGTTAAAACATTCGATAACATTGTTCGTTAGCGCGAAATGGCTTAAATGCTTAACGAAGATGCTGCACCAAAAAGGTGGCAATAAAACGAAAATCAGAATAAAATAAAATAAAATAAGCTAACAAAATAAAGCGTCTGAGTGGCAAGAAACTCGGCAAGTAAATACTTATAGGCGTCGGTGAGTGCGAAAAGTTTGTCTAATGCATGGCAAAGTAAAGTTTACGTCGACGTTACAGCTGGTGGTGGGAGTGGTGAGACGCTGTTTGGTACAGATAGCAACAGCTGTGGTCAGCATGTCGCCTGCTGGAGTAGATAGATCGACCGCCTAAACCGAACTTGATGCGAGAGTATGTACCGTTATATAGAGCTTTAGCGAGCTGACGTTGTGGTCCTAATAAATTAGTATGCAGTGCAAGCGTTTGCGCAAAACTTTTCTACAAATTTATAACAATCTGGCAAGGTGCTAAACGAATGGTGGCTGTGGTGGGGCGGCATGGCAGGTCGTGTGCTGGTCACATGGTCAGTGAGGACAAATCAGCTTGAAATTATTTCACTTTCACGCTGCTCAATTATTTGCTTGTATCTCGCTGGCGATTGTTATTACCTGCCTTTGGGCTGCATTCTTTAATTTCCTCACGCATTTATTATTCGTGAATGACAGTCGGCGGTTCAATAAAGTTTATTTCATACACACAATGAACAATCAAAGTTTGGAAACAAATTTGGAAATTTTGTTGGAAGAAACAACAAATTTGCTTGATAACAAAATGGAGGGTAAATTAGGTAACAAGTAAGAA